AAAAAAAAAAAAACAAAAAAAACAAAAAAAACAAAAAAAGAATGAGGAAAAATGGAAAAAGAAAAAGAAGAGTCTGAAAGTGAACATTTTGAGAAAAAAGTATAAGAAAAATGTATCTGAAAAGCAAATTCGAAGGATTCACGTTAGATGCGGTTAACATACATGGAAAGACAACACAATTCAACACCCAGGAGGACAAGGGGTTGTTCGATGTACAATGTAGGTCTTCAAAGGATATCACTGAAGTAGTTCAATCAGAGTTATGCCCAAAAGCAATCCATTTATCCTGTATGAAGAGTATAGTCGAGCCAACTTGGTGACTCGATGGAGCTTCATTGCTGTTGTTGAAGGTGGATGGTGATGCTGCAAATAGTCCTAGAACTGAGTTGAAGTGGTGAGGGGTTTGCAATCACTACATATATTTGTGCGACTTAAACTAATTTTTCTCGTCTTTCTCTAACCAGTCAGAGTAGCATATCCGAAACAGTTTATTCACCTGTGCTATTTCGCTTTTTGGTATTTTTGACTACTTGTAACCTAGCCTCCTATGAGTACAATAACTTACGTGTTGAACAAGTTGGGATATGCATTTTTGCATAGTTAGCTTACATCTTTGAAAATAGAAGTATTTCTCTCATTTTGACACCACACACACACACACACATATGTATATATATATATATTTCCATTCAATGATTTTTGTTAATGAAGTAATGGTCGTAAAGTTCTATGCTTAAACGAAATGCATTTGATCCCATTTATACACTTTAAAATTTTTAAAGAGAAAAGAGCGGAATTGTTGATAACATATATATGCATAGTTGCATACATCTCTTGACATTCTTATGTTTGCCTAAGGCTTCATTCAAATGTCTTTGTATATAATACTCAAGTCAATATCAGCAAGTTTCTCAACTAGGCATAGGATGCCATTAGTGTCATCTTTTACCTACTCAGAAAAATCTGAAGTCTCAAATGAGAAGAACATTGAAAAGGTAAACAAGGCCATGCATTGTTGTCGGAAGCACTGGAGCAGTTGAAATGTAGATGGTAGGCAAAGAAATGACTTTGCATTGTTATTATTTAACCTATTGCTTATCTCTTGTTTATGTTGAGCTTCTGTCTCTCATCAGATGACATGATCTACTGTGCTAGCTTCCATATGCATTTCATGTTCATATCTAATTTAAATTTGGGTTTTGCAGGTGGATTATGCTTGCACCCCTGAAGAAGTTCAACAGCATTTCCAGTCTTGTGGCACTGTAAACAGAGTCACTATCCTTACGGATAAATTTGGCCAACCTAAGGGTTTTGCTTATGTGGAGTTTCTTGAAGTGGAAGCTGTTCAAGAGGCTCTTGCCCTTAATGAATCTGAACTACATGGGCGACAACTGAAGGTAACAATTTCCTCTTTTTTGCCTCTTATGAAGAAGCTCCAGGTCACATATTTATGGCATCCAAATTAAAACAATTATTTATTTTCTTCTTCATGATATCATTCATTTTTGCTTGTCTTTGGTCATATAATGCAAGTGTTACTGAATAAAAGGTTTAATTGGAAAATGATCCCCACATTCTTGGCATCCAATTTCTTTGACATTGGTTGTCTGCTTTGAGTTTACTATTGCCGTCCTTATTATTTGTGCTACTCTCTTCATTGCTAAATAACGTCATTCTAAGAAATTTGACATCAATTTTGTTACCTTTAAAATGCAATCTGCATGGATTTGTTATCAAGCACATTAGTCTATTATTGAACTTGATGTAGAGTTCACATGTACCAGAAATCATATGAACTAGTTCTGTCATCGTGTTTATATATTTTTTTTTTACTAAATGAAGTTAATAGATGTAACCTCAATTGCCTTACACATGTATGTAATTTTTAGAAGTATGAAATTGCATCAACTATTCAACTATGTCATCTCAAAAATCAAAAAACCGATTTGAGGACATTTTTAGGAAGAGAAGGATTTGGAGGAAAAATAAAAGAACTAGGTTTCTAGGCTTCACACCGAAGAAACACCGCGGATCTATTGAACATCATGGTCAAGATAACTACACGCATATTACCTAAGGGGGACTATTTCTTTAAATTAAACAGAAAATCTCAACTGTTTTTCTAAAAATGATCTAATAAGTTTATTTTGGGGATTACAACACAATACACACACATGATGCAATATAAATAAATGCTATGCTAACAATAAAGCTACTATTTATACTAATAATATAAAAAAACTTGTAGTGGACCAAGTAGCTCCAAGAAGTAAACAGTGAACATGCTCTTTATGTTACCGAGGAGGTTTAACATAAGGCACCTTTGAAAGGAAGGTTTATAACAACTAAAGCTGTATGAGATTTAATGAAGATATACAAATCAATCAGATAGGAACTATGCTGTTATATCGGTCAGAATACGAAATATCGGTCAGGACTGATATTCAATATATCGGTGATATATCGGTCCAAAATAGCGTGTTTAACATAATATTTCTTAGAATTATATATATAATATGCATTAATTAGAGTTTAGAAATATAGTTTCAAAATTAAAACATCACATCATCTAAAGTGTTCAAAAACGAGCTAATATAAAAGAAAGAAGAAGACCGTTGTGGAGGCAGATCAATTTCAGACCTAATTTAAGTTACCAAGCCCAAAAAACTAGGCCCATGAAGTAACAAAAGCCCAATATTTAAACCCTAAAAAATCAATATATCGGTCCGATATTTGCATTAAAATATCGCTAAAAATCTGGAAAAATCGGAAAATGTCGCCGATAATATCGAGGACGATATTTTGACCGATATTTATGGACCGATATTTTCTCTAGGAGCGATATCCGATATATCGCCGATATATCGACGATATATCGCGATATTAACAGCATAGGACAGGAAATAACAAAAGATAAGCAAGGGATGCAATGGAAGATGACACATATTTTTGTATGATGTGTGTGTAAAGATTTGTGTTTGAACTTTGAAGTGAAGATCATCAAGGGAAAACCTTGAGTTAAAAAGTGTACAAGGTTAGAAAACATAGTGAAACCCTAACCACCGTTACGAATTTTATAAAATTTTATGGACAATTGTCAAAATAGTGTGTATGTGGATCATACCTAACATGCTGCAAATAGAGTTCATCTAAGTGTTTTGTAGGTTTTCCCTTATGGTGTTAGCTAATAGATATTCATAACTTGATATAAATGTGCTTAATAGTTGTATGATTGATTGTTGTATCTGCAACATGATCATCTACAAGATGACGATAGGCCTTTATATGATTCGTTCTTTCATGGATGACTTGGTTCTTATATATATATAGACTTGGGATCATTTGAGACCAGCCTGTTTTCGTGAGACCGCCTTTTTACACTTGAAACTTCACAGCAAAATGCTGTGAAGGTGACTTTTTTTAACCTTCACAGTGTTTTTGCTGTGAAGTTTCAAGTGTAAAAATGTGGTCTCACGGGTCTCACGAAAACAGGCTGGTCTCACGTGAACCCAACCCTATATATATGTGTGTACGTGTAGCTTTTTGGTTATCGGTTTTCACTATATAGTCTCATTGATTTGTCAGTTGTCATAAAAGATTCCTAGTTTAGTAGTTCGCACAAAAGATCATCTCAAGTGACAATATTCAAACTATGTGTTTGAGTAAGAACATGTTTTTTGATCTACCATAAGGCTAAATTGTTACCAACAATTTTACAATATCCCATTATATATATATATATATATATGTATGTGTTTATGTGTGTGTGTATATGTAGCTTATTGGTTATCAGTTATCACTATATAGCTCATTGATTTGTCAATTGTCATAAATGATTCCTAGTTCAGTAGTTTGTACAAAAGATCATCTCAAGTGACAATATTCAAACTATGTGTTTGAGTAAGAACATGTTCTTTGATCCACCATAAGGCTAAATTGTTTCCAACAAAATTACAATATCCCAATATCGGCTCAAAGTGGTTGCAAAACTTGCATGATTTTGGTATGAAATTCCTCTGATTTTCATAATCCTTTTGGGTCTAGAATAAGAGATCTAGTTTATGTATATCTTAATAGATAGAAACATCCTTACGAGAAGGTTGCACCTGAATACCCAAGTCTCCCAAAGACTAGTGACCTTAACTTTTCAAAATCATACGTGTCAGCTATGTTGTCCTCTTAGTTGTGTTTAATGAACACATTGTCATTCATAAAAATTACCAACGTAACTTATTTACGTTGTAAATGCTTTTAGAAGACTAAATAATCATGTCACGCTTGCAGTGTTTGAGACCATTTAAAGATTAATGGAGACAACAAATCTTTGAGGCTACCTCCTCAACCTCAAATTGTGGGTGCTAGGAGTGTAGACATTTTGGTTTAGGTTAGAACTTTGAATTAGACTGCCCTTGCTGGACTATAATATTTCTAAATCAAATCGAATCATGAAAAGCTTTGAACCTTTTTAGTGTAAATAAATATGATTGGTTTGTAAATAAATGATTTTAATGCAAAATTTAAAAAAAAATAAACTATGGAGAAGCTATAGGTCATTAATTAATTTTTATCATAATAAAATTTGAATGTTTGTATGATGAACAATAAAATGTACAAATTTATCTATACTATACTAGAAGGGTACTTGCGCAATGCAGCGAGATACATTTTGATTTTTTAATAATTTCATTTTATTCTTTATCCCAGTCGATGTTATAATATGGTGTTATGTGATTTTGAAAAAACGATGATGCTTTTATTTTTTAATAAAATATAAATTTGAAGATATCATAAAAATTTGACAAAAATATATCGATATAAGTATCAAATTAACTATTTAAAATTCCTCATTTTTTGTGTAATTTTTAATTCAATTTTTTTTATTATAATTTAATTTAGGTTCAATAACGAAGTAATTTATATTTTGGTTAATAATATAATTTTCTTATAAAGATAGTAATTATTTATTTTGTTAAAACTCGATGATTATCCTAATTATATTTAGAATTTTTATATTTAAAAATGATATGTTTATCCTCTATTTGATTATGTWTATCYRCAGTTAGTTACACGAATTCAAATATAGAGCTTTAATAAGTTGTAATTGTGCATAGTTTACTTCATGCATAAAAAATGGTTTTTAAGAGTTTTTGTCAAATGTTTTATAATATGGTATAGATATCGTCATTTTTTATTAAGGGAATGTTCTGAAATTATTGATGCATATTACTTAAAATTCCAGATTACAAGTAAATTGTGCATAAGTACAAATTATTAAAGCTTCATGTTTGAATTCGTGTAACTAACTGCCGATAAACATAATCGAATAGAGGATAAATATGTCATTTTAAATATAAAAAATCTAAAATATAATTAGGATAATCATTGACTTCTAACAAAATATTTGATCATTATCTTTATAAAAAATTATATTATTAAACCAAAAATAAAAAAATGAATTAAAGAAATACACAAAATAATGAGAAATTTTAAATAGTTTGTTTGGTACTAATATCAATATTTTTTTTTCTTCAATTTTTTATTATTTCTTCATATTTATATTTTATTCAAAAATAAAAACATTATCATTTTCTCAAAACAACATAAATCATATTATGACATCGACTGAGACAAAAAAAGAAAGAAATAAAACGCAACATTAAAATCCAGATGTATCTCGCTACATTGTGTGAGTACCCTTCTAGTAGTAAATAATTGATTTAATATAGGATTATTCAGTTGAACTCAAGTCAAGGCAGATGGTTTTGTATGGTTCTGTTGGACAACTGAAAACAATAAATGAATCGAATGGATTAGTTTTAAATTGTTGACTCACCAACATCCACCTATGCAGAGGGACGAGATCGTCTTTTCTTCACAATGATGCATACACATGGATGCTCAAGCACCTGGCACGTTTCTAGAAATAGATTAATAGTTTAAGGCAAAGATGAGAGAGCAATATTTGTGAGATAAAGTAGTGTAAGCAACATTGTTTTTGATAGATCTCTAGTGCCAATAGCGTTTGAGGTAACACGAGATGGGTCTTTGGGAGGGTTCAATTGTTTATTTTTATAATTGTATATCAGGCTCATGTCAAGTGTGGGTGTTTCAATAAGAGGAAGTACCGATATGGGACCCCAACATTGCAACCTCTGAAATAGTTGCAAGTGTGTTCATTGTTAAGTAGAATCGAGTAAGGGGAGAATTGCATGATCGGTGTAGTCGTCGATGGTAACACTTGGAACCTTTCTAGATGCGAGGGTAGCAATAAGTACACCTTGAACATCTAAAAACTAGTGAAGGGCATGGACAAACACACATATTAAAAATATAAGGAGACAAATGAAACAAGAGTACAAAACGATATAGAAGGGTAAGAGTAAAGCTATCATCCAAGAGGGACAACATGTTTGTTTGAAGTTTTGCATCTATTACAACTTCTAGAAATTAGTGAAGGGGATTGCAGTGAATGAAAAGAGAATGGCACCTCAAGCATATGACTATTGTTAAACACCAGTTAATAGTATGCCACAAAAATGATTTTGATTGAAATATGAAATCTTTAATTACAATATAGGATTAATATATCCGAAGCCACCCATCGTTTTTAGGCCATCAAATTGTTTCTTCGACTGATCGATCACCCAATCTTGCTTTTTTTTTTCAAACCACCACTTTTGTTCGTAAATGTTTTTCCATTCAAAATGAGCGTGGGAAATGACCTAAGTACCCCTTCCTTGAAACTAAAAAAAAGAATGATAGTTATTCAGGCCATCACCAGTATCATAAAGTTTCTATTAATCTACCATATCCAACTACCACAACCGTTCCCGCAGCAACCTCACCTCAACAACCACTGCTCTCAGGTGATATCAGTCCCTGGCACCACCAAATCATGGTGAACGTGAATTCGATAAAAAGATGTGTTTACATGTAAATATTTTGGTTTGTAAAAAGTGCAAACTTAGGCATCAGGGTGTTGTATTTATCATATCATACTAGTTAATATAAGATTTAGAAACCTGATACACTGCCTATGCTTTTGAACCAATAAGCTTTTGATGATAACAAGAGATGGTGAGAGTAACATTAATGACGTTGGATTCCGCTAAAAGAATAAATGAACTTTTGGAATAATAACTTAGCTATGTATGTGTATATGAATCTTGTGTAAAATGAAATTCATCTAATTTCTTAAAGGTGATATCAGTAGAGTGCCATGGTGTCACGTAAATGTAAACAAAGTTACAGCAAATAATCTTTTATAAAAGTAATTTAAATATAATGACCCGAGTTATAACTATCAAACATAATCAACTTTCTTCTTGATTGCCTCTCAGAAAACTAAGCTACTTTAGTTGCATCGCCTAAATGTAGCAAAAATCAGATGGCAACTCCTTCACCCATCAACTGTTATCAGTACTTGTAATATTAAAAAAGGAGAGGACAATAAATGTTATTTCTTGAGAACACCTTCAAATATTAAAAAAGAAATATGCAGAGTTGTGCAAGAACAGAATGATGCATAAAATTTAATTTGGTGCCGAACGATACTCATAACTATGAAACTTCCCTAAAATATTATTGTCCTTTCCGTTAAAAGTTACACACTTCTTGGGATCTCATTAGGATGCTGTCTTTATCAAAAAGATGCTGCAATCTTCAATCATCGTTCATCGAGCGCTTTCTCTCATTTGCCTTCTATGTAAAACTCTCTATCGGATGAAAGAGAGCGAGCGATTGTAGGTTAGGGTTGTAATTGGTTGCTTGGTCAAGCAGCTGCCCTTGGCAAGGTGTGTAACTAATGCGAATTTGTTTAAATTGTGAAGGCAATAAAGCTTTATAGATATGTTTTTTTTTTGATAGAGAGGGGGGAGACCCCTCCAGATCAAGAAAAAAAGGCTAAAAGCCAGACAACGCGCTTGGGTGGGAGGTAAACCTCAACCACCTGAAAAAACCAAGGCACCCCAAGGGGAAAGGAAGGGAAGAGGGGGGAGAAGAAAAAGAAAGAGAGAGAGAGAGAGAGAGAGAGAGGGAGAGGAAGGAAGAAACCAACCACAAGGGAAGGGCCCAGCCGAGCCAAGACCGGGGAACAACGGGGGAAACCACAAGAGCAAGAAAAGGGGCCTAAAAAGGCACACCCTAGACCGCATCAAGAAAAACAAGAGAGCAAAGGAGCTCACGAGACCAGAAAAACAACACAAGAAGACAGACAGCTAAGGGAGGTTCCAAGCAAGCCGAGCCTGGACAACATTTGGAGGGGGCTTGAGGGTCAGGCTTAGGAGCCTAGACCGGACATCATCGGTAATCGTTCTTTTATTGTTGAAGATGCGATTATTCCTTTCCTGCCACAGGTGGTAGACAGTCCCAGCTAGCACTAACCTTCGAATAATAGACCAGACGGTCTTTCCTTTGGTGGCTTGTTGGAACATACCAATAATATCAGCCCAGTTATCCCGGACACCAGTGAGGTTAAGCTTTGGCTTTAAGCCATTCCAAACCTGATTAGGAAACGGGCACTTAAAGAAAAGATGCGAATGCGAATTAGGCCCGTTTTGACAGAAAGCACAAGACAGGTTGGAGTGGCCTTCCCAGAACTGAAGCTTATCATGCGTCTTGAGACGCTGCTTGAGGACACATATGTTGGACTATATAAACAAAAGAACCAATAGAATGTGTGCTTGTAGAAATGCAAGTAAATTACAAGGTGTCGGGGATTTGTGTGTATTACCCAAGGGCCATTGGCCCAGCGGTATCCGTTAACCCAATATGATGTGTGTATTCATACAGATTAATTTAGGCCATGGTTGGCAACCATAAGCTAGCTTATTTTTTGAGGTTATTGAAGAAGGCATCTTTTAAAAGCTGTAAGCTAGCTTTTTGAAAACTACTTTAGATAGCTTATTGGGTTTTTTCCTTTCCAATTATGCCTCTTATATTTTACATAAATGTCCTGTATATTTTTCTTTTAGGTCATTTTAAGTTGTCATTTTGATTATCAGCCAATAGTTAATTCATCTAGTTTGCCAAACATAGCCTTAAAAAACCAAATAAAGGGATCTAGAGGCTTTGAATTGCTATTGCGTTTTACCTTCTCTAACGATCATCTGATTTTTTGGGTGGTGGCTCAAACTTGTTGGTCAAATTGATCATATAACCGTAGTAATCAATATATGCATTTCATACAACACAGGTAATGGCTAAAAGAACGAATGTACCTGGAATGAAGCAGTACCGTGGGAGGCGTTTCAATCCTTACATGGGCTACAGAGGATTTAGGAGGCCATATGTACCTCCTTATTTCTACTCCCCTTACGGATATGGGTTAGTTTCAGAAGATATTTAACTTGCTTCAATCTCTACTAAATAGGAATTTTTTTTCCGCAAACAGTACTTTTAGCTCTTCTTTTTCCAAAGAAGATTAACCATTTCACTCTCGCAAAAACTTCTACTGCAGGAAGGTTCCGAGGTTCAGGAGGCCAACACGCTACATGCCCTACTACTGAGCACCAACAACAGGCTGCAATGCAATCTGTTTGTTCTTTGAATTGCATGATCGTATCGTATCATATATTATTATGCAGATAGATTGCAACTGTGAGGTTATAACTTCATTGGACTGTTAAAAACCAAAACCTTCGTTTCAACTTGTTTCTGGGTATAATGCGCGTCTACTTTCAGAGCTACAATTCACAGTAAAGCCGAATTTATTGATCCTACCTCCGGATATATGGGTGGGATTAGAGATGAGAAATAACGGCTATAACGGTAACATCCACAGGCTGAAATTCAAAAATGTTATCAACATAACCTTCTGTCGAGTTTTGTGGCATTCTGGTGTATGGAAGTGCATGCTAAAACCTGTTAGAAGCTCATAGAAAATTTTGAATTGATTGATTCCCGTTTACCCAAATGCTTACCCGGTAAGCGCTTATCAATATGAGTCAACGCTATAATTTATTTTGATGCGTAAGATTTTAGTATATTAAAACATATCGAATGCAACAATTTACTGGGTAAGCGCTTACCTGGGTAAGAGTCGCCATCCTCACTTACTAGGTGGGACTCTCCATTCTTCTAATTGTTCTTACCTGGTAAGATTCTTGGCCCTTTTCATGTTCATCCAATGAGTAAATTTATGCGTTAAACATTTGCCAAGTAAGTGTTTAATAAACGGCCTAACTGGTCCAGTTTGTTATTTCCTTAATCGGTTATGATTTGGGCCTGGGTTTGATTCACTTATGGACTGGTTTATGGGCATCTAGTCGGCTTTTTTAAAAGATTGAAGATAATAGAGCCTTTTTGTTCTCACATCAAAATGAAATCTAGTACATAATCCAGTCATTCCACAAATCATAACATACCAATTAACCACAAACCTTCACAAGTTTATCATTAGCGATTTGAAATACCAATTTAATCTTACATGCATCAAAATGATTTACATCATTCACATTTTATAGGTCTCAAATAAGGTGTAAAAAAAGATCGCCGCCAAGTGTGAAGAAATTTCTTAAAAAATTGCTTATGTTATCATAAATTGAATTTAAGAAGTACTGATAATTTATATAAAACTGGTTTATGAGTCATCCTAGATGCAAAGTTAACCAATAATAGTTTTCTAAATTAACATTGTCTTGCATATTATTTTAAATATATAGCATCATCCATCAGTTCCACCATCAAACACATCCTATGATACATTTACCTTCAATACATAGATTGACTTCATTTGGTGTCACTGTGTTAATTGTTCGGAGTAACACTGTTTGAAACAATATAAACCGCTTGAGTTTCCATTTCGATCTCATGTTGATGTTTTTATAATCATTTTGAACTTTTAGGACTTTTGAAAGTCAAAAGTCAATTTTGGTTATAATTTGACATCTTATTCTTGTTTTATTTATATATGTAGGAGAGTACTTAAGATTTGGGTGATTAGCGGTCAATAATGTATGGAACAATAAGGATAGTTTTAAAATTCTAAATATAGAGATAAGTTGGACCGTTATTATGGTTGATAATTGTTTGGAAGTGTAACAATTTTCTTAATAAATAACAAGAAATTTATTTTATTTGAATACAAAAAGATAATTCATGCGGATGAAGTAACAAGGAGAATAATATAAGGATCGTCAAACAACAAAATAATAATAACTATGAAACGATATTACAATGTCAATTATAGAAGCTGTAATGCTCATGTTTTCGTGGAATCTAATTAATCAAGCCATTTTTGATGTAATATTTTTAATTTTGTGGGGTTCTATCGTGTATAATCGCCTTGGCATGTTATAGGGTCAAAAAGGTAACAAAAATGAAGATTTTTTGGACATTCCGGGGTCCACACGACCAGAGTTATAACTAGGGGTGCTAAAAAACCCGACCAATCCGATCAACGCAACCCAACCCAACGCAAAATAACTCAACCCGAAGCAACTCGATGTCTAATCGAGTTATAAAATTTTCAAACCGTAGGTATTGGGTTGATATTGGGTTACTATTATTTGAACCCAACCCAACCCGATGAACCCGATATCCTTTTACTTTTTGGATTTAATATGATTGTTGAATTTCTATTAATATATATATATATTAGACAATTACACCATCATGTGCGCTCTTCATATATATATCTTTTCAATCTATTCACATCCCTATATAACTCATTCGTATATATGTTCAGTAACTGTACACACATATATACGTAAATTGAGAAAATTAACTGAATGTGATATATGTAAGAAATATGGATAAGTTGTATCAAATGATTGATGATGAAAAAATAAATTATGAGTAGAGAAATAACATATTCAAGTTAGAAGAATATTCTAATGTATCAAAGTATCAACCCGACCAACCCGTACGGTTTGGATTGGGTTAAGATTTTTCAAACCGCAAGCATTTTCCCCGCATGTAACATGAAGCATTTGATGAGCTTATAAGCCTCTTTTGGGTTTGCTCACTATCTCTCACCCTCGTCATTTCCCTTAACCTGGGAGCGATTTTTGGACTATTTGGAGGTGATTTTGAAGGTTTCTGAAGGCTAATGGAAGAATGAATAGGAGATATGTGGTTGGAGTCTCAAGATTTCTTTAGTTTGGTTGAAATCAAGGTTTGTCTAGGAGATGAAGACCCCCATTATAACGTTTTGGGTGGAAGGTTTCAAGTTCTTGGAGAGGTAAGTTTCTTGAGTATTTTGAGCTTTATATTTCGGATCTTCGTACATTTGATGCTTGTATCAATATGTAGTACATTTCTAGACTTAGATTGTGGTCTTGATGAGATTCTTGGATATATTTGTTTGTGGATCTCAAATCTTCATTTTTGAAAGCTAAAATTGAGTTTGGAAACTAGGTTTAACTTAGGTGAATTTCAAGTTATCTTGTGAAAACTACGTACATGTTTAAAATGCCCATTTTGGAGTCTTCAAGTGTTCTATTAAGATTTATCAGATGTTATTGATTGTTTGATGAAATTGCATCTTAGGGGTGAGCACGGGTTGGATCGGATAGTAAAAGAAGAAACCCGATCGGGTATCGGATTAAAATATTGTACCCCGAATTATGGTATTCGGGTTTGGGGGCAGTTCGGGTTCGGTCGGGTTCGATTTTGTGCTAACAATCGAACGTACCTGCTTGCTTAGAACCTTACACAACAATCATAGACCATTAGTTTGCTTACCTTCTAGTGCTTACAGCCTTACATAACAATGCTAAATGCTTGCTTTAGTTGCTTACTTGCTTGCTGTTTTTGTTAGGCAGTTGCAGAGTTGCAGCTTGCTGCTTGGAAACTTGTCAATTTTAGTTTCCGATGACCGAGAGAGGCACTAAGGTCTAAGGCAGTCAGGGCTTCAGCCAGAGAGTCGAGAGACCGGAGACGGAGAGAGGCAGAGAGTGAGAGAGGCAAGGGCGCAACTCGCAAGGTAAAGTCGAAAATCCGTAGAAGGGAAAATTTCAAAATAAACCCCTTTGTGTTCTTCGGGTTTCGGGCGGGTTCGGGGGGAGGATCTTGAGATCCTACCCGATCCGCCATACCCGATGCAGTCTAATGATTCGGACTTCGGTTATGTTCGGGTAATTTTGTTCGGTTCGGGTCGGTTTTCTTCGGTCGGGTAATTCGGGTACAGTCGGGTTTTGCACAGCCCTATGCATCTTTGGTATTTCTGATTTTATAAATCCTTCGAAAACGCTTATATTTGGGTTGTTGGATATTTTGAAAATCTGAATCTTATTATTTTGTTTCTTGATGGTTTATCACAACACATATGGTCTTTTGACCTATTTCATTCTTTGATATGACTTGCATAATATTTTGAGAAAAAAACATATTTATTGAGTATAGGTATTTCTTAAATGATAAATCATGTATTGATGAATATTTCATGGTTTTGATCTATAAATGAAGGTTTTGTTGAGTATTGGACATCATTGCACCTTTGGTGTCATTGATTTTTATAAATCATTTAGAGACTGCATATTGGGTAAATGTATTTTATTGGCTTAGCTTAACTTTTAATTAAGTAGTCAAATAAGTTGTTGGTTTGTCATGTTGATATTGGTTCGAATGAGCTTTTGGGATTTTGCCGAACTTAAATTATTCAATGACGATATTTGAATGTTGAATTGTATATTTATTGGGATTACATGAGTTATTTATCAATCAAATATTGAGTCATGCAAACGAGACTCTAATTAGGAGTGTACAAAAACTGTGAAGCCGTTCAACCTGCCCAACCCAACGCAACCCGCTAAACTGCCAACCTGTTGAACCGCCAATTAAGATTTGAAATTGGATTAGCCAAGCTCAACCCATCCCGCCGCTAATATATATAACAGTTTGCTTTGCATTTGATCCATAGACATATGAGTTGTTTGGTATCATTTTGGGTATTCTGGCAGTAGACTCATGTAGAGTCGAACCTGGACCTATGAGTTGTCGATATCATTTGGTATGGAGAGGTGAGCTTGTATAGAGTCGGACTCCGAGACCAACGGGTTGATCTTTGTTATTTAAAGGAGAAGTTTTTATGTTGTTACTATAATTTCTAGTGTCACGAATACGTTTGAGAAGCTTGCGGAGGTACTTGTTTTAGTCGTATACAAAGCTTGAGTCTTCTTGTGATACTTGTTGGAGTCATGAACGATACCGTTGACTTTTCTGAGTGAGACTCATCTAGAGGACGAGTAGGAATCAAGGTTGCCTTACAACTTGTGGTGGTACTAGTTGGAGCCATATACAGAACTAGGGTCTTGCAGTGGTACTTAGCAAAGTCGTATACGGAGCCCTTTAACCTTAAGTGAAATCAGTAACATTGAGACATGACTTACTTTTGTGTTTCCACCACATACAATGGAATTGGCCCCCGTCGCCGAAAGATATATTTCAGATATAGAGTTTTCAATGTTTTTGGTGTTTTGGATATTGAGTCCTATCCATTGTTTTATGTACTTGGATATTGAGTTTTATCCACATTTTGGATGGGTTTGGATGTTTGGTTTTTATCTTGAAAATGGATGTTTTGATTACTGGATTTCTATCACGAAAATGGTGGGTTTTGGAAAGATGTTGCTTTCATTGTAATTACGTTTTCATTGCGAAAAATCGTTATTTACAGAGCACTCCATCATATATTTGAAATGAAAATTATTTGAACTCACTAGGCTTTTAAGCTTCACATTTTTCTT